CAGAGAGTTAAGGCAGAGCATCAGAAACCAGCAGGGTTACTTCAGCCTTTACTGGTACCCGAATGGAAGTGGGATAAACTTAGCATGGATTTTATCACTGGACTATCAAGGACCCGTTCAGGCTATGACTCCATCTGGGTTGTAGTTGATCGCTTGACCAAGGTAGCCCATTTCATCCCTGTGAAGACAACTTACACGAGTGTTAAGTTGGCTAAGATATACATGACCAGAATCATATGTCTGCATGGAGTTCCGAGGACCATCATATCAGATAGGGGAACATAGTTTACTTCAAAGTTTTGGAATTAGTTGCACAAAATTTGGGTACCAGGCTAGAGTTCAGTACAGCCTCCATAGACAGATGGACAGACCGAGAGAGTCAATCAGATTCTGGAGGACATGTTGAGAGCTTGTGCGCTAGATTATGGATCTAGTGGGGATGATAATTTACCCTATGCAGAGTTCTCCTACAATAACAGTTATCAAGTCAGTTTGAAGATGGCCCCTTTCAAAGCCTTGTATGGAAGGAGATGCAGGACACCATTGTCGTGGGATGAAGTTGGAGATCGACAGCTGTTTGGACAAGACTTAATCAGAGATTCTGAGGAGAAGGTTAAGTTGATTCGAGATAGACTCAAGATAGTCCAGTCCAAGGAGAAAAGTTATGCAGATACCAAATGCAAGGAGGTAGACTATGAAGTCGGAGACAACATATCTTCGTGTGTCCCCACTTCGAGGAGTTAAGCGTTTTGGAGTCAAGGGAAATCTAGCACCACGATTTGTGGGACCATACAAAGTTTTGGAACGTATGGGAGAAGTTGCCTACAAGTTGGAATTACCCGAAGGATTGTCAGGAGTTCACGATGTGTTTCATGTTTCCTAGTTAAAGAAGTGTCATGCAGAGATGGCCGACATCCCTCTGAGAGATAGAGTGCCACTGGAAGCAATTCAGTTGGATAGTGATCTGACCTATAAGGAGAAACCCGTTAAGATTCTCGAGATTTCTAGCCAAGTTACTCGCAGCAGAGTCATCAAGTTTTGCAAAGTTCAGTGGAGCCACCATTCCGAGGAGGAAGCCACTTGGGAGAGAGAAGAAGACCTCCGCAAGGACCACCCACACCTTTTTGCTGCCAACCCGAATCTCGAGGGCGAGATTCATCTTAAGGGTAGGTTTGTAACATCCCAATTTTCATTTTGGATGTTATACATAGATCATTCATATGCATACATGATTTATTGCATTTTGTTATTTAGTTTTGGTTGCTTTTTGATCCAAGAGGCCTTAAGGAACTCAAGGACCAATTTGAGAGAGTTGGAGGTTTCACAAAAATCCAATTTTGATTTATCAAAATTTGGTAATTGGATCAAATTGTTTTTCAAAATTCCTTTTCCAAATATTTTAAAAATAATGAGAAAAGATAATATGACTTCTTCAATTCAGTAGAAAAATATTGGAAATTGAATTTTGAATCTTTCAGAGTTTATTTGATTTTATTTGCTAGTTTATTTATTAGTTAGTTGAGTAATTAGAATGTAATGTTTGTTTTCAGTTTAGGCATTTAAGTCCAGAAAAATGTTCATGAGGTCGATAATAAGGACATTTAGCTACGTGATTTTTTTTGGAATTTTTAGGACTATATTTATTTTTATTTTGTGTATTTCTAGTCTTTGGGAAATTGTTTTTTAAAGAAAAAATGTGTCGCCTAAACTGGGCCAGCCCAGCTCAAGCCAGGCCACGGCCCAGCTGCGCCACGGCCTCCGCCGCCAGCTCCTGAGCGGAGTCCGCAGCCGCCACGACCGGGAGTCCGACCCGAACTCGTCCCCGCCCCTTCCCCAAGTCGCCCCCAAGCCTTTATATACAGAGCCCCTGGCCCCTCTCTCCTCAAGCCGCGCCGCCTCCCGCCTCTGCCACCGCCGCCGAGCACCGCTGCCGCCTGTCGCTGCCGCCGTCGCCTACGCAAGCTGTTGCCGCCGCCTGCTGTAGCCGCTGCCGCTGCCGAGCGCTGCCGCACCCGAACCCCGTCGTTGAAGCCCGTCGTCGCCACTGAGCCGCCTCACCCGCAAGTCACCTCTGCTGATGTTGGCCGAGCCGCCGCCGTCAACCGAGCCGGCCAAAGACCGGTAAAAACCGATCGGTTTTTCTTACGTTTTTTCGGTTTATTAGTTAGATCAGTTTATTTTTTTTATAAGTTAGTCTAATTAGTGAACGTTCACCCGTTTAGATCTGTCAACAAATGAATTCGTTCGTTAGTCTCTGTTAGCAGACGTTCGTCCGATAGATTTTTCTTTTTCCGTTTATTTTTGGCCAGGGACCTATTCGTGAATAGTTTTATCGCAGTTTAGCCCCTGATCTTCAAACTAGCACAACTTTTAGCTTGTTTGTCCAGATTATACGAAACCAATGCCTAAATCTTCAGAGCGATCCCCTCTATCCAGTAAACCAACTTGAATATGATTTTGACAATTTAAAATTTGAGTTTAGTTCAGATTAGTATTTGATCTTGTTTTGTTTGTATCTTAAGTTTCGTAGCTCCGTATGAGTTGATTCTTTTTGCTGATCATAGCTAATCACATGTACCTACTGTTAAGATCTAATCCACATAAATGTAATGCTGTTGATTTGGTTTTCTGTTTAGATTAGCTATTTGCTTGTTTCGAGTTTTATTTGGATCTTTTCTCGTTTCTTCTTGCATCGTTTGCTTGTTTGTTTATGTATGCTATTGTTTGTCTATGCTAGATTTTCCGGAGTGTGAAGCTTGTTACTGCGAATCTCTAGAGTTTTCCGATCATCAGCAAGGCAAGTTACACTTTGATCATACTTTTTCATACCCACTTTTTACTATGCATTAGTTTTGCCCCTCAAATATTTGCATGAGTAGGATTGGGAATATGTGGTTTGGTTGTAGTACTTGAGGCGGGAACCTATTACCTTTGATCACCCCAGGAATATACGTTATATGTAATTATTGCTTAGCCATGCTCGTAGACGGGGATTGGATCGTGATGTACATGGAAGTTGTGAGAAATAATAAATTTTGGACAACATTAAGGTGGCAACTTTAATACACATCTGGGTGGATTGGTTGGGGCACCTAGAGAAACCAGTGTTTGCCCATTAGGAAATCCCGGAGTACCTGTGTGATTTTTCCTCGGTTCACCACCCAGGCTCAAAGGGATCATATGATATTTCATGCCTAGAAACTTCCGTGTGCAGCCACAAGCCATTATGGGCTCTGGCATAGTTGAGTAAGTTGTGTGAGCTCTTGAAGAGGTGGACTAGCATATGCAGGAGAAAGTAGGTGTACCGGTCTACCTAGAGTAGAGAGTTAATGCTTCAGAAAGACTATGTCTCGATCTTCCGATCATGGATGCGGTCGAGTCTTGCGGGGAAAAGTATGCAACCTCTGCAGAGTGTATAAACTAATCATGGTTAGTCGTGTCCCTAGTTATGGACATTTTGAGTATCTAGAAGTGGATATTATTGTTGATCTCATCACTCTTTAATTAATGATTTGGGTTTAATGATGATACTTGTTTAATGTTGGGATTTGAGTCGGAGGAACCTTCTCAAATATTGGTATTACTTTGTAGTAAACAAAAAATATTCCTTTGATGTAGGGAAAAATTAGCTTTATGCAAAACTTTAAACTCAGAGCCTCCACCAGCCAAATATGCATGTAGATGTAGTTTCTTGCATTTATTTTGCTCTACAGTGTAACTCTGCCAGCATATTCAATGTGCTGACCTACACGGCTGCAATGTCTCATGTTGCAGACTTTACCGACGAAGAATAATGTGTGATAGGTCGTTATCATGCACTCAACTATGCCGTTGGAGTTGATGGACTCATTTACCTTCGAAGCTTCCGCAGTTATTTTGCTTAGATGGCCTTCAGCCATATTATTTGTGTAATAGATACTCTTTATGAGGACCTCAATGTAATAAGTGTGTGATTGAAACTCTGTTATAATTCTTCGAGTATTGTGTGTGTCAGCATACCGATCCAGGGATGACGATTAAGCACAGAGACTTCGGTAATTGGGATCGTGGTCGCTATAGTGAGAGGTGTGGGTGCGGTGAGAGAGTGGCTGATGTCAGGATAAGGCTGGGCAGGTAAGCTAAATTTTTTGGATAGATAACATTTCTGATATTGTGCGAGAATTTCGTAAGCGCATCAAGTAGATTTTAATTTGTAACAGATTTTTGGTTAGATAATCGTATTATATTTATACATCAACAAATTACCTTTTTAATCAATTTACATTACAAGTAAAGTGGACTTCATTTATTACCCGATTGTGTCGTGCTATCTTTTCTCTACATGAGAAAATTAACATGCATTATGTTTACATATCTCCAGTAAAATAATTCAAAAGCTCGTGGCAACACACGGGCATTCTACTAGTGGATCTTAGGAAAAAATACACTCCCTTCTAAATTTAAAGAACTCAGGCCCATGAGGCCGTTGCGGTTTAACCGACTCCAAAGCTCAGGAACAAAAATGAGCGAAGCGGCCTGCATCGAAAGAAAAAAAAACAGAAAGCAAGCCCGGCCCGAGTGAAGCTACCCTTGAAACCCTAGTTCGCAGCTGTCCTCCCATTGAGAATTCTCGCCGGCGGCGGCGGCGTCAGCCATGCCCATCGATGCGGGGAACAACAGGAAACAGCGGCCGCAGGACAAGTTCGACCTCCTTGCGAAGGAGCAAGGGTACCGGAGTCGCGCGGCCTTCAAGCTGCTCCAGCTCGACACGCTCTTCCGTTTTCTCCCGACGGCTCGCGCGGTGCTTGATCTCTGCGCCGCGCCTGGGGGGTGGGTCCAGGTGGCCGTCAGCCGCGCCGCCCCCGGCGCCTTCGTCGTCGGCGTCGATCTCGCGCCCATCCGCCCCCGGCGCCTTCGTCGTCGGCGTCGATCTCGCGCCCATCCGCCCCATCCGCGGCGCTCTCTCTCTCAAGGAAGACATAACTGCCAGTGCCAGGTGCGGCGCCGCCGTGCGGCGGCTCATGGACTCGAGGGGCGTCACGTCATTTGAAGTCGTCCTCCACGACGGTGTTGGACGAAAGAAAAAGAGAGGAAATCGTTCCGTGTGCGGTGGCACCAGTGCATCGGCTGCGCAGGAGGCCACAACCACGCAATCAGCGCTTGTCATGGACGCCGTGCGCCTAGCTACTATGTTCCTCGCCCCCAATGGCACCTTCATCACCAAGGTATGAATGATGTATTTGTTTTGCGGGGTGAATTCATGATCCGAGGCTTCTTACACAAACATGTGATAAATATGCTTTTTACATGTTTTGCAGTGTTTATATGTAATAAAAGTTTGTCGGATATATTAGCTAGTGTAACTAAGCTTTCATGGTGGATCAGTACTTTACCTAGTGTGATAAACATAGTGGATCATATTTTTTCTGGTAGCTTCTTGGTACTACCTCCGTAACTAAATTTAAGACATTTTTGCCGTTCAATTTGAACTGGAAAAAAAGGAGTTACGGAGGTAGGTAGTTTTTATGTTGATGCCTTCTTGCAACACTCATTTTTTTTAATCTCCATCAGTTCTTCAATCCGTTATGATGCAAATTATGACTCTTGATGTTGTTCCCCTGTGTGAAGTGCACATCTCAAATCAGTTTTTATTCTCTTCAATAGTTCTTCAGGTGTCAAGATTACAAGGCTGTAATGTTCTGCCTGAAACAGGTGTGTTTTGATCACAGGTTTTTAAAGTGTTTGTTTTGTTAGTTATTTTATACAAGTTGCTATTAATGCATCAAATGTACCCATTTACAGCTATTTGAGCGTGTTCATCTGAGTAGACCTGTAGCAAGTCGGTCCACACCTGCTGAAATTTATGTTATCTGTCTGAGATATAAAGTCCCTGCAAATATTCAACCAGAACTTCTTGATTTGAAGCACCTGCACTTGTTGAGTGTGGATGCAGAGAAAAGCAAGCGGTAGGTATTTTCTCCCACATCATTACTGGAATTTGTCTATTTTTTTGCATATCTTAGTGGCTTATGTTATGTGATATCGTTTGTCACAATATTGTTGCTGGCTGCTGCAAAGGTATGGCGCCTCCACGCGAAGGTGTTGGCTTGCCTCACAATGTACTTTGTCATATGGTCTCCGCCATACCTTTGTGGCATCAATAGAATGTTGTGCGCCATCTGACATAGAGGGAGAGGGAGAGGGAGAGGGAGGATGAGCTTATTTGTAAAGTCAGAAAAGCAGTTAAGCATGATTATTTTAGAGCAGTAAATAGGCATTAAAAATAGCTGGCATTGCTGTTCTTTTCTTCAGGATCTGTACTTTCAAAGTTCGAATTGTAGTCCAGTTTGGTTGGAAGTACACTGTTCTAAATTTGTATCATATACTATTTATGTAGGCAGGAAAGCACAGAATTCTGGAAAACTGGTCTAGCATCAGATTTTATATGGTCTGAGGCCCAGACACCACTAGAGTTTCTTGGTTCCTTTTTGACAATTTCATTTGACGATCCAGCATCTCTGCCTATCAAGAATCATGAGCTTACTACAGATGAGGTAGTGGAGTATTGCCTGCCTACCTTCTCTTCTGTCTTAGTTATGACCCTGGTTGCTTGTACCTTTGCTGTCTAGCAGATAAAACAACTCTGTGAATATTTGTTTGTGCTACGTGAAAATGGCTACAATCATCTGTTGGAGTAAGTATCTTTCTTCAGTTCCTTTTCTATCTTGTAATTTACTTCTAGATTATGATTATCCAAACATGTCTATTAGTTACGCGTGCACAGAAATTGGTCCCGTCAACCTCATACGAAATTGATTTACAATGTTAGATGGCGCATGTGTGTAAGGAAAGCACTGTCGTCATGTTCACAGGTGACACCAAGGACTGATGGGACTGCGACGGACAACAAGGGCAGAGAAGGTGACCAAGTTTTACATGAAGTGGAAGGTTTGAAGAATGTTGTTGATAGAAAGAGAATGAGAGTGAAGTGTCAATCAAGGCCTCATGCAAGGGTATTGCCGTTATGAAATGTAATTGTAATTGTAATATTTGCTGCGATGTGGGATTAATTTAATTGTCTGCTATATGTCTCTTCATTCCAGGGTAAAGCACACGAGGCATCAGGAATGCAAATTGATGCTGCAGAAGATGGTTATAGTGATCCTGACTTGTTCCCTACTTGCGATATTGAGGTATCTTGCTGTTTACATAGTCCTATCTGTCTATCTTTGCATCTGCAACATTCCTGCTCCTGAAGTTTTCTCTTCGGCGTTAAGCCTTTATTATAACTAGAGAATACCCCGCACGTTGCTGCGGGAATCGATTGCAATATATTTTAGTGATTTGATTGTATGAAACATGCATAGTTGAATTACTAATATATGAACTAAATTTTAAAACAAATTATATATTGTATTTGATTATTGTGTAATCAAAAAATATTTTTAATATAAGTGGCATAATATAATGGAAAACTTTTTCCCATGCATGTTGAGTGGACCTTTGATGAGGTGGCATGTGTGCTGGTGTGGGATGTGTGCATTGGATCAACTAATAATGGAAAACTTTCTCATGCATGTTGTGGTGGGCCTTTGATGAGGTGGCATGTGTGCATGTTAAGATAATAGAGGTAGTGGGTATGGACTATTTAGGTATATAGGATTGTAGTCAAATATTACAGCAAAAACAGTCGATTGAGGCGGTTTTATACTAATGTAGCAACGGGTAAAACTGTGTCTACAGATGCTAGATATGGTTTTTGCGCCCGTCTAAGGTGTTGCCATAGTCTCCGTCTCAACATTTGAGATGGGTTTGACAACCGTAGAATCGGTTGATAGACATGGCAAACTCAAATTCAAATCAATCTGCTTGAATTTGAAAATACATTCACAGTTTGAGTTAAAAAGTATATGCATTGGTAGTAGTGGGCACGTACCGCCGGTATCAAAGGTGTTGTAATTGTCATTGAATAAATAAATATAATCGTCATATGCAAGTGTAGCAAAAGCCAACATTTTTATTCCTTGTGAAATGTTATTACAATTACACTCGAGCATGAGCATGGTTACGCAGTCCCTATTACACTGTCAAGTAAAAGAGTCCATCTAGTAATTTAACTAGCCAGCAGATTGTTCTTGTCCTTCAAGCGAAACACATTGAGCTGCCTCTTATGTTTGTCTTCCTTCAAGCTGAAACATTTTTTACTCCATAAATCTGAAAGAACAAACAAACAATTGGTTGTGATTAAATAAGTGTTTAGTTAATTACACGGGATCAGCATTTATTGGACAAACGAGTCTATTCTGACTTCAAAGAAGGATTAAACAAACAGCAATGGAAATTGCCACAGTAGAAGAGTGAATGTTTAAAAACCTGAGAACAAATTCATACAAATATTAAGCATTCTTTTGCCAATATCAAATTGAACTACTTAGTATTCCTGCAACCACGGAGCAAATAATTTCTCACGTTAAGTAAACAAATAGAAGGAAGAATATCATGTTCTACTTGATACTTCGGAATGATAATTACCTGATGTCAGGTACGTGCACATGGCAAAGCAAACGTTTTTTATGGCAATTTTAGTTGATGTGAGGATGGCAATTTTTGTTTACAAGCATGGCAATTTCCTGGCAAAAAATAAACTAAGACAGATTTGCCATGCTTGCCCACTAAAGTTGCCATCCTCAACAAATATAAATTACCACAAAAAACGTTCATTTTGCCATGTGCACATACCTGACGTTCGGTAGTTATCGGCGTCCTACTTCTTACCAGGACGTGAGGGTGACAAGTCAAAAATATCTTTGGCAGATAACTTGATAGTTTTTATGATCCGGATAAACAAGTACAAGTAGAAAGGGAAAACAATTTACTGCTGACACTAAAACTGAGAGGCTATCATGTCCTCAGCAGTTAATCAGCTAGTTGTGGTTGCAGAGGTGAATCTGCTAGGCTGCAGCAGCTACCTCGTGCCATGTTCATCGGCATCTGGGAGATGAATTGCATCAGGATGGAGGCAGTGGATCAAAACCAAAAAAGGAAAGAATCGATGGACTTGAGCCTGGAACTAGTAATTAGCCACATATATAAACTCCTAATTTTATGTGACTTGCGTGTTTTGTGCTCAGCTGACTTGCACAGAAAGACCCCTATTGTTTAGTAATTTGGCCCACAATGGGGAGGACTAACCTCAAAAGTACTAGAAAAGCCCAAATTGCAAATAGGCCTATCCAGACTTCCGCTTCCAGTGGGAACTGCACCGGCTGAACCGGACGCGCTCATCACTCCACGTCGCTGTGGTGCAACGCTTGAGCCACAGCAGCAGCTGATCACTTGTAAGCTGTCCTGTGCCATGGATGTGATCTGATGGAGGCTGGAACACCGGGCCTTGACCAGAGCTGGTGAGATGGATCCAGCCACCACTGATGCTGCAAAGTCTTGGATTTGTTTTTGGTTCTCATTAGGAGATCAGATCGTAGTTCCTTCCATACAAGTCGATGGTTATTTAATGGGCATTTGGATAACTTCCTCAAATAAAAATATTTAAAATAGTGGATAACTTATTCCAGTGTGGGTGGGTGTTGTAGAGACGGTTTACACGTCCGTGTATTGGGGGTGTCTCAACAAAGCGTTGGGTGCTGCTTTCCGTTAGAGGTGAAGATATGGTCTTTTTACCCGTATCTCGGATCACTGTTTTGTTGCAGTGTAACACAGTTGGGGAAGTGAATCTTGTTCTATCATGATATTTTTATGTTATCTTCCCAGTAGGACATGCCTTTTTTAGCTTCTAGTAGTACTTGTTTAAATATTTTTGTGCTTGTGAGCTCAGTGAGATTTGTGTTTGTGCTTTTTATAGGGTGGAAAAGAACTTCGAGCTGTTGAGTCATCACTGCTTGATTTGGAAGAAGACATCAGAAACAGTGAGAATGAAGAAACTCAAGCTTATGAGGACTCTGGTGAGGAAATGGATTATGATCAAGAACAACAGAGGTAAATTTTCAGACACGTACAACTACACATAATACAATAAACAGGTCAGATATAATTTCATATCATTTTCAAGAATTACTGTAAACCCCACTGATATGTAGCAACAACCAGGTATGGCGCTCAGATCAAGGGGACGCTCGATGAAGCTCATGTGCCTTTTGTGACTAAAAGTTGTGGAGAAGTCAAACGTCCGAGCAAACGTGCAAAGCAAACCAATCCCTATGACAATACAGAGGTAATATCGACCCTAATTCATATGATCGTTAGCCCCAAGAAGGATTGATAATAAGAGATGATGTGCCCTGCAAAGGGGTACCATGTCATTATGGATTTTAACGGGAAGGTATTGGTGGATCCACAGATGAAGGTCAACAGGTCTAGCAGATCGGCTCAGGGAAGAAGGGTGGGCAGTGGAGGCTCCAAAGGAGGGAAAGGGAAGAAGGGCGCTGGTGGCCGGAAAGGAGGCATGCGACGGAAAGCTAGGCAGAAGGCCGGCAAAGCCGATGAACTGGAAACATAACTCCTGAAATTTCCAGCTAGCCAGCATGTCAGATAGCTAGCTGTTGTTTTTATACATTGTACTCCCTTTGGCTCTGGAAAGACCAATAAATTTTCTCCGAGATCGCGGAGGCCAAAGCTTGTAATAATAACCGTCAACAACTACCATACTAAATAGATCTCTATCTCTATGTAACATTTACCTTTACCTATTTGTAATGTATATATATGTATGTAAACTGGTATTTGCTTCTGCAATTCCAATTACATCAATACTTTATTTAATTTACACCTGTTTATTACTTTTGTAAATATCTATTTATCGGGACAGATAATACCCCATTCTAGGAAGGGCTGAGGTTGGTATTATATCTAATGCTCTAATGCTATTAAAAGAGCAAACATTATCTTCCCTAGCCGCACCCCATCTATAAAGTATGCACAACAACCCGAACGAATTAAAGCCACACGGTTAGACCCACTCAATTAGATCTAGCCATCAAAATAACTAACCCTCCCTGAAAGTGCACTTACCAATTTCTTTTTTGAGAGTACATGCACTTACCAGTTTCATGGGGCAGACGAAAACACGCAGCCCACGCCGCCGGAAACGGATACTCTAACATCATGAAGGGATGTCACGAAGCTACATTGCAATTCTAGTGCAAAACGAAGAAGGGATGTCACGGGCATTGTAGCAAAGACATTGTGCGCAGTTACTGTTTATAGAAAATAAAATCTGAAATTAATTTTATTGCACCATAATTTTGTTTGTATGTAATTTTTGTAAATGTATACAGTAGATTTGTAATTTGCAAATTAATTCAAGTCATTTTAGGCTTAATGATATGGATATGAAGAAGGAATGTCAGGGTACTGTATGATCTCGTTCCCACGCCACCTCGCCTCTCCGGCCGCACAAGTCTCTTCGGTAAGCACAAAGTGGAGACGTGGGGCGACCACCAATGAAGGAGGCCGCACGGGAGCCTGTGGCGCCCACACTCCCTCGCCTCTCCGGCCACATCGGTCTCCTCCCTAAGCACGTGGGGCGGCCGCCGGCGAACGAGTCCGCGCGCGAGACTGCGGTGCGGTGGCGCGGAGCCCTCTATTCCCCGTCGGTTCAAGATCTGCACAGGTTTCCTCCCTGGCATCGTCGGTCTTATCTGAAGGTATTCTTCCCTGGTCTTTCGTTCTGCAAAAGATGAGTGAATGCTTGGGTATGGACTCCAGAAACAAAGTTTTGCACTTAGATGGCGCAGATTTTGTTTTATGTTACACCTCCTTTTTGTTTGGACTGTATTTGCCTGAAAACCCGTGGAGGAATATCGCCCTAGCATTTACTTCTGCAAACCAGAGAAATTAATGGCCAGGACAGTTGTTTATGCTTGTTTGAGCCTGATTAATCGAAGCAATTCTTGAAACCTAATCTGATGCTTATAGTTGCATTTGCGTATCACTTTTTCATACTTGCACAATTGTCAAAACTGCTATTTATGCTTGTTTGAGCATGAAATATGCACACTATTTTTTACATAATACATTTTTTTATTAATTTTCAGAAATATTACGGCAAAATTATTTTTTTCAAAAATAATACATAATCGGCCATCTGGTAGC